GAATTATATATAAAATATAAGTACTAAGTGGAGTAGATAAAGACACAAGTGTTGAATACTGACAACTAAATAATTGATCAACACTCGTTTAGTGGAATCAATGATTTTTAACACTGCAACGGAGAGAGAGCTTTTTTAACTTACTAGCCCCCCACCCTTTACCCCAGCCTAACACTCTATCAATCTGTCTGTATCGGATCTACATAGATAACTCTCATTCTTTATTTGTCCATAGCTTTCTCGCTCTATCTCTATCTCTACCATTACTGTCTTTCGCTCTTTCCATATATCTCTGTCACTCTCTTTTAATGTGTGTGTATTTTCATCTTTCCCTCTATCGCTCGATTTCTCTCTCTCTATTTGTCTCTCTCTCTCTCTCTCTCTTTCTATTTCTTACTCTGTCCCGCTCTACATTAAACGAATTTCTCTCTTATGCACACGCACGTCTCTTTTCCCCTCCCATCGATTTTCCTTTTCTTTCACTTTCACACCTCCACTTCATTCATTCTTCTCCTACCTACCTACCTCCCTCCCTCATCGCCGACATCGCCGCCTGTATCTTCGCAGCCGCTGACAACTTCAGTCAGTGTTATTGTAACTCAATTGAACATTGTGAATATAAGGATTAATACGATTGCGATTGCGATTGCGAGTGCTGGCAGCGCACGCCATTTGGCGTTACCAATTGTGGAATTAAATTTAATGGCCCGATTTTGGCACTTCGCCAGTGGGCGTGTACAAATATTAATATTCTCATTTGCTGGCCATTATTTTATACGCCTTGTGCTCGGGGTTTTCAATTTCGCATCGGTTTGTCAGCCCGGCTTAATGCTATTTTATGGAAGTCTGTGCAGGGGCACGCAAGCTGAAAATAAGACCAACCCAACCAAAAACCAAAAGAAGAAGAAGCAGACGAAGGCGAAGCATAAGAAGAAGAAGAAGAAGAAGGAGAGTATGCAGTCAGTTAGATAGCTGGTTAGGAATGTGCCAGGTTAAGAACTGGGCAGGACGAGGAACGTTTGGCAAACCGAAAAAATTTGCTTTAACAGCAATTTTGATAACTGTATGTGCACGCGTGTGTGTGTCAGTGTGAGCATATCTGTGCGAATGTGCGTTTGACACTGTGTCAAAAAGTACCATAATATTTGTCGTAAAACTTTATGATGCACAAAATTAGTTTTACAGCACTGGAAATAAAAGCCACTCGACTGATGCTCTGCCAAAAGGATGACGAGAGGAAGGGAGAAAGCGGGGAAGCGCGCGCCTTCTCAATGGGCTCCAATCGATTTGGCAGCGAACAGTTCTGGAGCTTTGGATTCGGCTTTGGCTTTGGTTGCGGCTTTGGCCTTCTGGGATCGAGAGCAGCTAACGATGCGCTGCCCCTCTCCGGCCGTATATTTTATGCAATACGCGTGCCAATGCCAGTTATTTATTTAGAAATTTTCTGCCATTTAAGCGCGTAATTGTTTTAGCATGGTTAGCCAATTGAGAACTTTCATTAACATTTAATATAAATGCACACACACACACACACACACACACACACACACACACACACACACACACACACACCACCAGACAGAGTTTAGAGTCATAAAACATTTGATGTGCAACTGTTATTTAAATTATGACAAATAAACCATGTTTATCTATGCAAATCAATTGGTTTTATTGATACTTTTATTTTAGTTATTATTATTTATTTACACATTTATACTATGCGCACAATTAAATGCGCCAAAAAAGTGCGCTCCTACATCCTTGAATCCTTGAACCCCAGGTGCATGCAATTTATGTAATTTCTATTTGAATTAATAATTAATAGTTTATAGATAATAAAAAAAAAATAAAAAAATCAATAAATAAATAAAACTGAAAACATTTTCCGCAGCTATAGGGCATCCATTAGTCTAACACTGCCGCTCATTCACATAGGTAAACTTCGCACTTTTTGCCGTATGTCCACATGTAATATATATCTGTTTTTTTATACCCTGAACCCATTGAAAATGGGAAATCAGGGTATAATGGTTTTGTGAAAAAGTATGTAACGGGCAAAAGGAGGCGTGGCAGACCCCACAAAGTATATATATTCTTGATCAGCGCGACGAGCTGAGTCGATATAGCCCTGTCCGTCTGTCCGTCCGTCCGTCCGTCCGTCCGTCCGTCCGTCCGTCCGTCCGTCCGTCCGTCCGTCCGTCCGTATGAGTGCGTCGATCTCAGAAGTTACAAGAGCTAGAGAGCTGAAATTTGGCATGCATACTCGTGTGTATCATACGCAGTACGAGTTTGCTTTATTTTTTCGATAAATCGTCCGATAACTTTTTTATCGAGAATAATCGAAAAATGAATTTTGTTTTTCCAGCCTAATTTGAACACTTTTAGACCTGGAGACTTCAAATTTGCGTTGTATATAAAGTTAATGTATACAAAGATTTTGTAATTTACAGATTTTGGATACCACGCCCCCTTCGCCCCCAATTTGTAAAAAACGCATTTAAAGTATTAGAGACTTGTGCTTTGGAATGTACACACATATTCACCATATGATTACACTCTAAAAGTTTCATTAAGATCGTATGTCTACAAAAGAAAATATTCAACAAATAAATTCTCATAATATTGCCCACACTGCAGCGCAGCCCAAGCGCAGTCGCTGCTTACCGCGCAGTTAGCAGAGCGCGTGCTTATAAGTGCATGTGTATGTATGTGTGCATAAAATAAGTCCAGAATGTTTAGAATATCAGCTTGGAAGGTTCAGGGTATCTCCTAGTCGAGCAGTCTCGACTGGAGCCTTCTTACTTGTTTTTCTTTCTGATTTGTGCCCGCTGTGCGCTGCTGCTGATGCTTTCAGGTTTTGTTTGGATTTCATGGCCCGAAAACTGTAAAAATTGATTTCGATGCATTCCGTGCGCCATCGATTTAATTTCACTTTGTGTACTTAAGCATATTAAGTGAGTGTGTGAACTGTACACTCGATTTATATTACAATAAATAAAACAAGTATGAGTTCTCCAGTCGGGACTGCTCGACTCGCAGATACCCTGAACCTTCATGATGTGTATGCTGATATGTATTCCAATCATTCGATGGTTCTATTATGCATACATCATAATGTATGCACACACACACACACATATGCGCTCACACACACACACGCACGCATAAGCACGCCCTCTGCTTGCTACACAGCTAACGAAGCGTCTGCGTTTTGGATGCAGCATGGGCTATACTATTGAATCTTATTTGTTGAATAACTTTTCTCTTAGATAGACTTTCTTAATCAAACGCTCAGAGCGTGATATTGGCATTCATTTGCATGTATTTGACAATGCACAAGTGTTTCGTATATGAAACTCTCATATTTGGAGAGAAGGAAAATCAATATAATATAAGTATGCATCAGTCGGACATACATAGTATAGCTGAAACCGTGAGCTCTTTGGGTATACAAGCTATGCTGAAGAAACAAAGTCAAATTGACGATTATTATCGATAGTAAGGCAACGGGTTGAGTTATCGAGAAAAAAGGAGGATGCGCATGGTATATACGAATGCAAGTTCCAAATTTAAAGCCTCTAGTTTTTGTGGTTTACGAGCTCGCTGCGTTCATACAGAAAGAAGGACGGACAGAGGCACAAACTGGAGAGCGAACGGTGAGACGAGAAGAGGACATATAGACTATATTTATTCAGCTCCTCGCCCTAATCAAGAATACATATATGCAAAATATATGTTCAGCCATGCCTCCTTCTGCCTATCACATAAATTTGCACAAAGCTAATATACCCAATCGTCCAATTTTGTATGGGTTAAGTGTATATAAACGAAACGAAATGAAACAGTACACATTTATATAATTTGAATAATTTTTGTTGTCTGACTGCATTCATGTGCTGGCTGCTTGGCTGGTTGGCAGCTTTAAAAAGTATGTATGTGTATGTATGTACATATATAGGAATATTGCGTATACGCAGCATGCTGGCAGTCAAGCGCAGACCCCTAAATGAAATCACAATATTTGTCAAGCATCTTAGTATGCTGCTCCACTTGCCTCTCTCTCAGTTTGCCTAACCATAATGATGCGGCAGCTGGCAACGTTTGTGCAGTCTTCACGCACCAGATACAACGTGGCGTATGCGTAATGCGAGTGCTCATATTAGAGCAGCAGCAGCAACGGCAGCAACAGCAGCAGTGGCAGCAACAGCAGCAACAGCAGCAACAACAGCAACAGCAGCGACAGCAGTTGCTCGCATTGTTTTCCCAGCGGCGGCAAAGGTGCTCAAACAATTTTTGCAAGCAGAGCAAATAATATGCGCTGCATACGGTAATCAGCTCACCTAGCCGAAGGGTTCGAGCCAAGTATCAAAGTAATCAAGCCAGGCACACTTCCAGCCCCAGTTAATGGGTCAGTAAGCCCTTTAAAGCAGTTGGATCTGACTCGATACTTTCGCTGAATAGATACAATGCAATTTAAGCGGTCTGATAAGACTCTTAGCTTAGTTCAACAAGCTTTGCATTTATATGGGGGGAAACCCTTTTGCTTGAGTCGCTTAAATATTCAAACATTTCTCCTTTAAATAAACAAACTTGCTATACCTTGATGAAATGGAATGTAAGGGTATAATGCTCTTGTGGAAATGCTTGTAACATACAGAAGAAGGTGTGGCAGAGCACATGCAGTACATATGCAGTCGTGTCTCGATAATTAATACCCCACTAAATCGAAAATCGCGATAAATCGAAAAAAATTCTATCCCCTTGAAAGATATTCGCTTATAGGCCGCATATAGCGTCCGGAACGGAAATTCTGGTCTCCAGGCAAACTTATATATAAGCAAACTGATACGGCTATAAAGACGGTCCTACTATAAGTATATACATGTATCATCAAGCCGACGAGCTGAGTTGAATGGCTCTTTTTTAATGTGTTTTGGGATTTTTAATACTTTGCCATATATATATATATATATATATATATGATTTACATATCAGCTCTTCATTGCCTACAGGGTATCTCCTGGTCTTGCAGCTTCAACTCCTCTTTCACTCTTACGTTGTGGCACTGTTTAGTTATTCTTGAACCGTTTTCAATATATGATGATATCCTTTGTCTTGACGTGTCTATGAAAATATGTTAAATCAGTCTTTGTCTGCAACATGTATAGATATGTATAAGTAGATGCCTACATACACGATCGATACACCGTCGTCTCATCATCTATCCCCTATCAAGCTAAAATCCATTCAGGCAGCCAAATTTGGCAGCTCACGTGGGGAGGAAGGGAAATTGTTTAAGTAGATGCTGCGGCACCTGTGTGTGAACGCGTGTGTGTGTGTGTATGGGCGTGTACGGCAAAGATACGCATATTTAAATCTTGGCCTGCCACGCCCAATTTCAACGCCCAGCTCAGATGGCACACGACGACAAATCATAGCTGGAAATCGAGAAAAAAAAAGCACTGCCAAAGCCGGTTTCAATCTGGGAATCTGATTTGTGGTCTGAGTTAGAGTTTGAGTTTGGATTTCGTTTTGGGTTCGAGCTCAAGTTTGGGTTTTGGGCTGCGCTAGCGACAGCCGCAGGCGCACTTTGGCCGCATAGGCCCATTGAGATTGAAGTCACTTCCGACAGCTACAGTTAGTCGCATATTTGACAAAGACGTCAGGCAAGCGGAATGACGAATGCGATTCTGAATGGGAATGGGAAAGGAGTGAGCGTGAATGTGAATGTGAATGTGAATGTGAATGTGAATGGAACTTAGCAGTTATGCCATACCGTAGTCTCTCAATACACAAATTTATGCAAGCTGTTGGCGCTGCCCTGCCCCGACTGGGCAATTTTCCCATCTGCACACACACACACACACACACGTCCACGCACACTTATACAAAAGTGCGCTGCTACTCAAACATATGCGGGTTTCACAGAGCTCTCAATTGGTTTTTCTTCTTTCCTGTTTCATTTCTTGCCTGCTTATACTCTACCAGAGGGCATTCCAGCCTGTCCACTGCCTATGCAAACGGTGGCCTTCGCATTGCAGCATAGACTTCATAATTCACTCGGTATATACATACATACATATATTTATGAAGGCTTCTAGCCAAACTGGCTTCATCGTTGAGTATTCAGATTTTGGCTACGACTTTAACTAGTTTTCAGAAACTGACGCAACAACGGAAGCAACAACTGCAACTGCAACTGCAACTGCAACGGCAACTGCAACTGCATCTGCAACTGCAACTGTGTATTCAATATTCAAATTTGATTGAAATTGAAGTTAATGCATATAGAATTTGTTTGTTTCACAATATATTCGCAGCCTGCTTTACATTGAGAAGTGTGTTAATGATGTAATGTATATATCAGAAATAATAACAGTACTCGGATAGAGCTTCTGGCCGATAGTTATATCGGTATGTATGTAATGTTGTGAAGACTGAATTGATTGAGTTGGTTTGAGTGGGATGTTAGTAAATACTAAAATCGAGTAGACTGATATTGACGATGCTGTCTGATATAGAAGTAGAAGTGGTAGGCCAACTTTATGTATATACATATATGTGTACACGTATACACACATGCAGAGAAGATGTTTCATAAACAATGAATAATTAATTTTCATTTCTTTCATTGAATCATTAGAGCCCAAACATTTTCTGTGATTATTAAAGGTAATAGAATATTTGTGGAATTTCCCTTATTTTTGCAGTTTTAATAATGTAACTGAACGTATGAGGAAAATCAGAGGATATAAACTCGTTGCTTAGTTCTTATTTTATTTTTAATAATAGTAGATGTTTTGCTTTTATAATAGATTTTTTTTTATTATTTTACATTTTTTATTATTCTTTGAGCTCATTACAAATTTCTATATTTAAAATAATTTTTTTTTTTTTCAAATTTATAGTATTATAAAAAAATAATAGTATAATATATAAATAAAGGATATGATAGGTCTTGTTTTGTGGATATAATTTTCTCACAAATACCCACATACCCACGCGAAATACCCACATAAACAGATTTCGTATATAGCCAACAGCTTGCAAGGGTATTCCATATGCGACGGACGAAACTCCATTGTTTATTTGTTTTGCTTCTCTGCTTTTGCTGTTGTGTTTAAGCAACAAAGGCGCGTATAAGTAATATAATGTGCTTGCATTACCAACACACACAAACACACTCACACACAGACAAAGAGACGCACACATTGAAACTAGAGCCATTTATTGTAGACCATAATATACATCTACTGATATACGCATATATATTTCTATATATACATATATGTATATATATATATCTGGTCATTGTGTAGTTATGCTCAAATGTAGTTACATAATTTGCTGCTCGACTGCTGCCAATGTTGTTGCTGTGGCTGTTGCTGTTGCTGTTGCTGTTCCTGACACACAAATTAGAGCCATGGCCATAACATTCATGTGCCTGCTCCAACAAATATGCAATAAAATAAAACTACACTTAAACGCCAGCTGGCCAAAACGAGTGTCATTGAAAAGTGCGAATTGGCATGGGAGCGGGCTCTAGCTGCCGTCTCGCATTGGGTCGAAGATATGAATAATCAGCGTGTTTCCCACCCGTACCCAAAAAAACAAAAAAAAAAAAGGAGAAAAGTAATACGCAAAAAAAAAAAAAAACATGTAAAAGAATGCAAACCAATCAACAAGCAAATCCAATACAACCCAAGGGAGACCCAAAAAAAAAAAAAAAATAAAAAAGCTTGGGCTCTCAACGCGAGAGGACACTAACTAACAGCCAAGCTAAGCAAAGCCAAGCCAAGCCAGGCCAGCCCCAGTGCCACGCCCACATAAAGAATTCAAATCGTATTGCCACTTAAACTCAAAATGGCTCGCTACACATGTCGCTTTGTGCGTGGGTGTGTGCATGTGTGTGTGTTTGGGTGTGTGTGCGTCTATAGATTCCGGGTCTTGTATAGCTCGCGCTATGCTTTCAATTATGGGTGCCATCAAGCCCGAAACTGAAATGTTTGAATACATTGCCATTTAGCCCAGGACAGGGCAGCTGTGCAAAGGAATGATGAGCATGGCGCGGATTGTCCTAAGGTCGACCCCGGTGGGGGGACGTCGGGGGCAGTCGGGGACCGGCGCTGGCTGTCTGGGTGGCTTACGAGTCTGGTGTGGGCTTACGAGGTTTTTGGGGGGCGTGCCAACGCATATATCACAAGTGCGACACAAAACGTAAATCAAATGATATGCGAGTGCAAGTATGACAAGTATGTATTATGTTAGTAACTACGAGTATGTATTATCAGCAACGCCATATTGTGCCTCACACTACACACACGCGGCCCACAAACACCCCAACCAGCCCCAGCCCCAGCCCCAGCCCCAGCCCGAGCCCCAGCCACAGCCACAGCCACAGCCCCAGCACGCCGTTTCACCCAGATTCTGGCGTCGAATGGCAACCGACGTTGTGCGTGCTGTGGTCCTGGTGACTGGCACCGGGTTCAAGTTCTGCCGGTCTAGCTCTGATCCCGCTCTGCCAGTGCCACTCCCAGTTAGTTCCAGTCTGGCTCTGTTACTGTTGCTGTTGCTGTTGCTGTTTCATGGAAGAACAACAACAGCAACAGCAAAAGCAGCGAGACCAAGCAGAACAAGTCAGAAGTAACGGCAAACGAGTGACATGTTTATCGCCATATTTTCCGAGCCATGACTAAAGAGCCAAACGCATAAATACTGTGAAAAGCAGGCGACAAAAGATCAAGAGCAATGATGAACGGGAATGGGAGTGGGAGTGGCAGTGGGCGAGTGCCCACATAACTGAGTGCGAATGTGTGCACGCCCCGATTACGACGGCAAAAACAGGGCCAAGTTCTGTTGGCGAACCACAATTGAATAAAATGATCGCATCTAATTCCAGGCTAGTAACCTGAGATCTGTCACTCGTCCTATCTGATTTATGTCGGAAATCTTGCGCAATTATTGTAAATTATAATTATATATGGCTGAGAGCCTAAGACTCTGCTATATACATATATGTATATCGATTTATGTTATGGAACTCGCATATCATATATTTGCCTATATATATTCGACTAATATATTAAAGAAACTGTAACTTTATTCCCTTCAAAAAGAAGCCCTTTTGTTGTTGCATTTATCGATCAACTATTAACAAATTGATATGTCGCCACTCAAATATGAAATAATCTGATGTATTCGGAGATATAAAACATAATTGAAGCTGCTGATTGATATCGCTAACAATATGTTTGGTCTTGCCTATTAATAGCTTGATGTAAGTCATATATCGACAAACTAAAATTGACTTATCGATCCATTACCATTTCCCGCCTATCAACTATGGCCTGAACAAGGAAGCATTTCACATCCACATCGAGCAGCAATAGCAGCAGCAGCAGCCAATAACCATAATAATTGAATTGATTCTAGCTTTTTGGACACATTTATCGATAACTTGATTTAAGCTGACTGCCATTACAGAATGGGTCGCGCGTCAGACAAATGACAAACTGCATTACAGCATCCGACAGCTGATTTGTCCCTTATACACATACACATATATAGATGTAGCATACACATACATACATATGTACATATGTACATATGTATGTATATTGTCCCGCTCGAGTGGTGCTTGGCTGCTATTAGTGGTGCTAGCTGGTGTTGTTGGCCATCAATCTGCATTCATGGCATTCATCATCCAAAAAACAGAGTCAGATACAAATATGGCGACACAAAAGCCATTTGCAAATACCTACTCGTATTCTACATACATGAATTCACACACAGACACACGCACGCATGTGTATGTAAAACAAGTAAGAAAGCTCTAGTCGAGACTGCTCGACTACGAGATCCCCTGAACTCTGAACCCACACACACGCACACACACGCATACACACACACACACACACACACACACACACATACACACACACATACAGGCACACAAGCACCCACGGCTAAACACGCATGGGCTGCAGTGTGCGCTTGCTATGAGAACTTAATTGCTTAATAACTTTCTTGTGGACATACGATCTTCATGAAACTTTCAGATTATGATTATAACATGGATATGCATGTATATGCCAAAGCAAAAGTGTCTAGTATTTGAAATTCGCCTTTTACAAACATAGTGGTGAGGTGGTGGATACAGGGGTGGGGGTAGATTTTAACAAAAACCGAAATTGTGTAAATTGCATATAAATATACATTTAATAATTAATACATTAGGAGACTCTAGCGTTAAAGGTGTAGGAGATATAATTTGATAACTGTTTTTCGATAATGTCTTTTATTGATAAAAAAAAAAACAATAACGGGATGAGTTATCGATTTTTGGTGATAAACTCGATATCCGCGCTGTAAATACGGATATTTTAAAAATTTATTTGAAGTCTCTAGCTCTTATATCTTCTGAAATCAAGAATATATATACTTTGTGGGGTCTGCCACGCCTCCTTTTGCCTGTTACATACATATCAACAAAACCATTATACCCTGATTTCCCATTTTCAATGGGTTCAGGGTATAAAAAGAAGAAATCGGTGGCTTTTGTCAATTGGTATTCCCATCGTACGAATACTGCTGCTGGAAATGGGCCAAATTGGATATAGCGAGGCTGGGGCCGGAGTTGGGGCTGTGGATGGAGCTGCAACGCTGTTGTCAAGCGTAAAAAAGCGTCATTGAGATGTCAACTGTGAAAAGTGCGACCGGGTCCCGGGAACATCCATGTGGTGAGCCAATAAATATCGTGTTTATGCCAACACCCAAACAAAGTGATGCGAAAATAACACAGCGACTGTCAGGCCAATCGGTTGGGCCGAAGGCCGAGGCGGGTCCATCGCACAGCGAAGAGGGACAGAGGCATGGCAAGGCATTAGTGGGAGGGGGACGAGGGATGTGTAGAACGTGGCGACAGTGCGACTATGGATCGGTGGGTGCGGCTTTTGGCCATTGTGTACGCACGTGGCAAACAGTGTGAAGGCGTTGGAGCATAAACAGTTTTTGACATTGTCAGGCCCAAGACACATGCTAATGCCTGACTGCCTCGGCAATCGGCGCACACACACACACCCTCATCGTGCTTGTGCGCACGTCTGTGTGCTTGTGTGTGAGTGGGTCGGCTTTGTTGGCCGCACACACGGCTTGTCCAGTCAGCCATAAACGTTATCTGTTCATTGCGACAAATGCATGAATAGTTGCGTCTCATGCCCCCGTTCCATGCCCCGAGCTTATACCCGGTACGGCCCCCGCCCAAGCATATGGGCATGACAAAATGCGACTGCACAAGTTGTGTGCGGCGAGTGTGTATGTATGCCAAAGGCAAAGGCAAAGGC